TCCAGGAGCTGTACTGGCTGTGAATGCATCCCAAGTCTTCAGGGCAAATGAATCATTATACACACTTGCTTTTAAACCCTGTAGTGCAGTGGTCCCCAACCTTTTCCGTGTGGCTGGCGCCAGATGATTAACCACTGAGGACCGTGGCCGCTGGACAATGCCACCGAGAAGCGGCAACGTCAAGAGGTGTCACCACTGAAATGTCGCAGAAAATCGGCGGCATTTCGGCAGCAGCACTTCTTGACGTTGCAGCTTCTCGGCGGCATTTTGGCGGCTGCTTGTCTGGTGGCTAGTAGGCGGGCGCACATAGCTGCCCCGGTGAGCGCCATGGTGCCCACGGGCACTGCATTGGGGACCCCTGCTGTAGTGTATTTACAAAGGTACACTCATCAGAGGTGCCTTCTCCGGCTTCATGGTCCAGGAGCACGCCTTCGGAGGGTATGGCTCCAGGGTGATGAAAAGTTCCTGGCTGCCGGGGAGAACAGATTCTCCGCTTGCCTGCTGTGTACTCTCCTCCTCCTCCTCCTCCACAAAATCCTCCTCCCTTTTGTGTGAGACTCCCCCCTTGTAGGTGTCCACAGACAGTGGTAGGGTCGTCCCTCCCTAGAATTTCATGCAGCTGATCAAAGTAGCGGCATGTACGGGGCTCTGACCTGGAGCGACCGCGTATCTCCTTTGTTCTTTGGTAGGCTTGTCTGAGCTCCTTAACTTTCATGTGGCACTGCTGTGTGTCCCTGGTGTCGCCTGTCCACCATGCCGTGTGTGATTTTGGCACATATATCAGCATTTTGTCTTTTTGAATGGAGTTCTGCCTGCACAGATTCTTCTCCCCTTACAGTGATCAGATCCAGTGTCTCCCATTCAGTCCATGCTGGAGCTCGTTTGCGATTCTGGGACTGAATGGTCACCTGTGCTGCTGAGCTCGCCGCGCTGGCAAAACAGGAAATGAAATTCAAAAGTTCACGGGGCTTTTCCTGTGTACCTGGCTAGTGAATCAGAGTTGAAAGTGGTGTCCAGAGCCGTCACAATGGAGCACTCTGGGATAGCTCCCAGAGGCTAATACCGTCGAATTGCGTCTACATTACCCCAAATTCAACCCAGCAAGGCCGATTTTAGCACTAATCCCCATGCTGGGGAGGAATACAGAAGTTGATTTTAAGAGCCCTTTAAGTTGACAAAACAAGGTTGCTCATGAGGACGGATGGAGCATTAAATCGACCCAACGCTGCTAAATTTGACCTAACCCTGTAGTGTAGACCAGGGCTAAATATTGGAATATCCACCAGTTTTGAGGATGGTCGGCTCCATTCTTTGCAGTTTGCCCTAGTTGAGCAATCTCAGTGTGGCCCCCTGGACCCGGGTCACAATTTCATAAATGCCTGGCCTGTGGGGAAAGTTTCATTCCACCGTCGTGGCCCCCAACCCCCTGTGAATGGGGGGAATGCCCTGCATTTCCCCAGCCCATGGTGTTGGGGGGGGGGGAGTTCCCTGTG